CAGCTCGACCAAACTCAAGTTGTCGTGGACTTGCCTGGTCCGGCTAACCCTGCTCCTGTCGTTGATCAATCCGCTACCAATGTACTTCAACAGAAGATTCCAGTGAGTGCTCCCGTTGGAAATGTTCCTGAAGGTACCACTGTTGCTCGGCATAAAGTGTCACAAAAACGGAAGAGAAGTTCACGTTTGGATAATTTCGAGACTCATCTAGCGGCAAACAAGGTGTTGAAGATTTTGCAGTGCGAGTTACGGCCAATTGGTGAATCGAATTTGCATTCTCGAGATGTACCTATTCCAACCACTTACGAGCAGACCATCCGCTCAAAATTCGCTACACAATGGCAGGCAGCCATGACTGAAAAGCTCGATTCGCTGCGCAGACATGGTGTGTGGATTGTCGTGGAGCGTTCGAAGGCTGGAGGCGCACAGGTTACCACTAACAGGTGGGTGTATGCTGTGAAGAAGGACGAGCAAGGGTTCATGAAGAGGTTCAAGGCTCGGCTTGGCATTCATGGATTTAAGCAGAAATTTGGTGTCAACTACTACGAGACTTTCGCCCCCGTCATTCGTTTTGATACTATTCGAGTGGCCATTTATTTTGCAGTTCAACGGCGGTGGGCTGTTCTTCAATACGATGTTAAAACAGCTTTCCTCCATGGAGCACTAGCTGAGCTCGTCTTCATGGAACTACCTCAAGGCTGCGGTTCACCTGGAAACCAACAGATCTGTCAACTGATCAAGTCGCTGTACGGCTTGAAACAGGCTCCGTACGTCTGGAATAAGACGTTGCATACGCATCTCGTTGCTTTTGGATTTAACCGTTTGGAGAGTGACCATGGCCTTTATTCCCTCGTCGAGAAGGGGGACGTAGTCATGCTCCTGACAGTTTACGTGGATGACTTGCTGCTAATGGGGGAGACTACTCGATGCGAAGCTATTAGAGACCTTGTGCAACGGTTTCATAACAGTGAAAATGTGCAGTGAGTGATTATTCGATTAGACGGGGAACATATGTGACTACAGTCTTGTGCAGTAGTCACATTTGAAAAGAACAAAGCGAATGGACAGTGACAGCTCCAGCTCAGGCGATGAAGAAGTGGTGCTAGCTGTGCTGCTAACACCGTCCAGCAACGCTCAACAGCTAAGTCGCTTTAACTTCGGCCTGCCCTCGACAGACCCAGCTTGGAAAGCGAAATTCCGCTTCGAGAAAGAGGAGCTCCTAGTCCTCGTTGACCTATTGAAGCTACCAAACCCATTTCCAACTCGCCAGCGCTACCTCGTGTCAGCTTTCGAGGCTCTTTGTATATTTCTGCGGCGGATGGCGTATCCAGCACGTTTGAGCGATCTACAGGACCTGTTCGGCCGTAATGAAACCGCAATTTCGTCAATTTCGAATGCGGTGTTAGACCACCTCTATAGCACGTTTCATCATCTACTTCAGTTCGACCACACTCGACTTACAGAGGCGACACTAAGCACGTACGCGAGTGCTATTCATTCTAAAGGAGCCCCCTTACACACATGTGTTGGATTTATCGACGGAACCGTACGCGGTACGTGCCGTCCCGTACGGCACCAAAAGTATGTATTCAACGGGCACAAGGTAAGTCTTGACACATTCACTTTATTTATAAAACATTTGCTAAACCTCTGCTTTATTGCTTCGTGTAGAGAAAACACGCTTTGAAATATCAGTCGGTACTTGCTCCCGATGGAATCATAATTCACCTTAGTGGACTTTTTCCTGGAACTCGCAATGATGCCTACATTCTCCAGCAAAGTGGCTTACTTGAGGCTGCATCTCCCTCTCTCAGCGCTAATGGAAGGCATTTTGTTTTTTTATGGGGATCCTGCGTACGGCCGACAAGCTCACATAGTGGCCCCTTTCAAAGGAGCAACTTTGTCAAGAGATGGACAGGTATTTAATAGGCGCATGAGTGAAGTTCGTGTGAGTGTTGAGTGGGGGTTTGGAAAAATTGTGCGTTATTGGGTGTTCGTCGATTTTCCAAAGAATCAAAAGCTATATCTGCAGCGGCTCGGGAAAATGTATACTATGGGAGCTTTTCTCGCAAATGTCCACACTTGCTTTTACGGCAGCCAAACATCTTCCTTCTTTGAGCTAACGCCGCCAAGAATTGAAGAATACTTAAACAATTTGTTAAATACAAACGGTTTTTTTTTGAAGAGAACTGAAGAAGAAAATTAAAGCGTAACCACGATTTATTTATTTATCTTCTCTATCAGTTTGGACATAAGTCCCATCTGGCTAGCCATCATCTCCATGAGTTTATCCGTCTTCTCTCGGTCTTGCTGTAGTCGTTGCTCCTCCAGGGCAAGGCGACGTTCTTCCAAGTGAAGCTGGC